GATATAAGGAAGAAATTCTTTACAATGAGGGTTGTGAAACACTGGAATGGGTTGCCCAGAGAGGTAGTGGAGGCCCCATCCCTGGAAACATTCAAGGCCAGGTCGGACAGGGCTCTGAGCAACCTGATCTAGTTAGTGGTGTCCCTGCTCGCTGCGGAGGATTGGACTAGATGACCTCTAGGGGTCCCTTCCAACCCAAAACTTTCTATGATTCTATGATTCTATATCCCATCTACTTAGCACCAGCGAGGCCACATCTGTAAAATCACATGCTGAATTTCATATCCTGTCCTGTCTTCCCCCCTGCCCCTGACTCTCCAGCTCAAGTGAGACACTGATGGGGGTCCAACACAAAGCTATCAAGGTGACCACAGCACACATGAGTTGAGGCTGAGAGAGCTGGCTTTGTTGAGTCCAGCATAGCAGTAGCCAAGGATGTATCTGGTAACAGCCCGCAACTACTTGAAGGGCAGTTACAGAGATGACAGAGCCAAACTATCCTCCGCAGTGGCAGGCGAGACCGCAATGGCCACAAAAGGGCCCCAGCGGGACATCAGAAGCAGCTTCCTCACTGGGAGGTGGTGCAGCACCGACACCGGCTGCCCGGAGGTGCTGGAGTTGCCTCCGTTAGTGGCTTTAGAGACTTGGTGAGACAGGACCACCGCTGACCTGACCCACTGGTGCTGGTGAGAGCCCTGCTGCGAGAGCTCTGCAGATTCACTGGTCCACCCAGCAACTCGGTGATCAGCTGAGCTCCTCCCAGGAGCATCCACAGAGACCAGCAAGGTTCACTTCAACCACAGTACCAGATTCTCTGCAGTGTGGACAGTCAGTTCCAATATTACACAAAAGGAGTACGTACTGTAGCCCTACACAATTTTCCAAACAGAAGAAGCTCCTCTCGCTCACTGGCTGGTGTTACAGCAGAGCTCCCCTCCAGCCAGCTGCACAGGCTGGAGCCTTTCAGAAGATACAGCTCCATTTCTGACGTACAACCATACAGGCCAGCTCAGGCCACCAGAGAGGGCTGCTACAGCTCTCCACCAAACACACTCAGGCCAGCTGCAGGACCTGCACTAGTCACCCCACTCCCCCAAGTTTAACTGCTAGAAAAACTTTTCTCTTTTCTTAGGCTGATATAGCACACGGAGGGAGGAGGAAGGTCTGTCCATTCTTTGCCACGTTCCAGTTAAACCACATTCCCAAGTCCTCCTTCCCCTACACCTTTATTTTTGAAAAAAAAAAGAAAAAACGAAAACCTGGCAAGGAGAAGGCACACTCCTGCAATGTGAAACTCTCCAGAAAAACAGCTGATGAGTAGTAGAGAAGCAATGCCTCTCCGACTACTTGTCACAACTACTGCAGAGGTAAAAACATCTACCTTCAAGGCACTGGTAACGCTTCAGAAAACTTTCTGCAGTTCTTCAGCCTGTTTTAAGGGGTCAGACACAGAAAGGTTGTAGTTTGGATCCTCAAGGGCGAGGAGTAATGGGTTGAAGCTACAACAGCCTTCCACTGGGTTCAGCATAAGATTAATCACACCATCCAGCTGAAGATAACTACATATCCCCACCAAAAAGGATGTATTTTTTGTAGTGACACAGTCTTATCAAGTGACCTACAGCATGTTACAAGCTAGAATTTTACAATGTGAAAGAGTTATGATGGTGACACAGACACAGTAGGAACAGAGAGGACATACTAACTTTCCTTTTGTGTGGGTAGGTATCAAGTGAAGACCAAGAAAGGATTATGAGGTAGTCATTATGCAGACAATTAAAATGTGAAATTAATAGAAATATGCATTTCATACTAAGCAAAAAAAAAAAAAAAGCTGAGACAAGCTCATCTCTCGCCTAAAAAGACTTCAAAAGACTTGAAAACAAATGACTTCCAATTTACGGTGGATTAAATGGTTCTGTGTGACAGTATTCACTTTGTACTTACCAATGCCATCAGGTAAGATCTGAAGTAAATTCTGAGAAACAAGCAAGTCTGTTAAAGAAGTCAGACCACTAATTTCTTCAGGAAGGCATTCCAATTTATTTTCAGAAACATCCAGACAGAGCAGGTTTTTCAGGTTTCCTACTTCCTGCGATACAAGACGAAAAATTTAAGTCATGCCCAAACACGTAACCAAGCAATTTGAAAAACATACCATCGCAATGAAATTCCAGAAAGAAAAACAATTCTCTGCATGACCTCTAAATTGGCCATTCTTTGTATGACCTCTAAACACAGAAAAAAGTAAATAATTACATTTTACATATGATAAAACAACTAAGTGATTCAGTCACAGTTTCTTATTCTATTCAGACTGGCTTCAGTAGTCAGACAAGGTATGCTAAGCACACCCAGGCAAGCACCAGCCAAACCTGGAGTTTTCCTCAAGTAAGGACTGCAAAGTTGTTTTTTCAAAACTACAGATTATCAGCCTCCACGTAATTAAAGTCTGCCCCTCCCAATTAACCCTAGGCAAATCAGGATTAGTCTCTTCTGGCTGATACAGCAACATGCCATGACATCTAGGGATTTCATATCTTCACATCTCCCAAACGCAACACATGTAGAAATAGGAACTGAGAGTGTTGCTCTAGCAAGCATATTTGAACTGCCAAGTTATACTGCCATCATCTACAATTATTAATGATTACTTAATTTTTTACAATGTTAATCCACCAATTAGCTTAGAAGTCTGACAGAGAAATACCTTTGTCCCTATTAGCCACCAGAGCATCCTTCCATTCCCCATTTATACAGACACCCATATACATACTCTCTAATAGTTCTCATTTTAGTCATCCAAATCATTTTTCAGAGAACAGAACGTCTGGGGCAGAAGTGTCCTTTGCTTTTATATATATTTGAACTTTTCATGCAGTGACAGCCTTGATCCTAACTCACAAGATCAGTCCTCTGATTTTTGGAAATGTTTGCCTAGCAAGAGGAGCTTCTGTTAAACACACACACCCCCCCTTTATCCTACAAGTTCATCTTTTGGACATTAGACACAATAACAGCCAGCTTCAATAAAAACAGCAGCTGAAGTCACATTTGACCTTTTATGAATAGTTATCAGTGTTTAACTACATCTACATAAAAATTATTAGGCCAAGCCAACAACAACAAAGTCAACAAAGCTCACTAAACTGTAACTGATTTCCAAGTTACACTGTTGACAATGAGATCAATACAGCAAATAACTGCAAACTGCATGAGGAACCGGAAAAAACAGGTTTTGACTCAGCTCTAAGGAAAAAAGAGGGAAAAGAAACCATCTCACATGTTATCACAGTTCTTAAGCAACGGAATTTAGAGTGCTGTAAGATTTAAATGCTAAGACCCCTCATCCCTTGACTGATGTCAGATAGGGGATTTGCCTGCATAAATCAAAATTTCTATTTATGGCAACAGTTCTATTATTGTACTTCTCCCAAACACTGCATTCGAATGGAAGAAAATGCAAAAACACAACAATTCATCCTCAAAACTGTGAAAACTGCAATTTATATAGATACAAAAGGTGTGGGTATGCTCAGCCAACTGGTGGCCTCCCGATCATTGGGCTAGGACTGTAAACGGAGAATGTGTCATCCTACAAACTGAACAACGTACCTATTACAAAACAATTCCTTTGTCAAAATGTTTAAAAGGAAATGTCTGACAACATACGATACTATGTACAATTTCTTGCAGAGGACCTTATTAAGAGAAAACCCTTACACGTGCAAAACCAAACCCACGCACAGTGAACTAAGAAAACTATTTGATCCTAAATCACTTCCCTTTAGGCATGAATGAAAAAAATTTCTTTTAAAAGCATCCTCAAAACAGTATTAGCAGAGCTCATCTTTACCTGAGGTATTTCAGCTAATTGGTTTCCATCCAACCAGAGGTCTTTAAGATTGAAAAGTGCACCAATTGTTTCTGGCTATAACATAAAAAGTAATAATGTTAAGCAGCATAGGAGCTTCAAGGATAAACCAAACAGCCACCCAGTAATTACAGGCTGAGGAAACCAATCCTTATTCCAAGCACTATTCAGATGTCCCACAGTTAAATGTAGCAAGAGTGACGGTAAGCATTTGGGAACTCCATCGCACAAACTAATTATTATAGCTTAAGAAGCCACCACACTTAACCCAACATGCACTAACAAATTGCATGCATGCTCTTCATCTACTGCAAACTCAACATTTAATGCAGTCAGTTTAAGGGAGATGACAGACACCTTTTGGTAGATCTATCTGCCACAGACACTGCACCCTCAACAGTTTGCCTCAGCCTTTTCCCAGAGATTCCTACTCCCACCCTGGAAACAGCTGAGCTTTCATCTGTGCTCAGCCCATCCAGCTCCCTGCAGAAGCCCATACGTTCATCATAACTGCAAGTGCAGACAAGAGTTTGTGCCCTTCCACTCCTTTTTCTTTCCATAGAAAAAGTCTGTGTAGTGCTCTCACTTTCTAGAGATCAGCTGCAGTTTTTGGAGTAATGTGTACTGAACAAGACTAGGCAGACATGGAAAGCACCAACTCACTGCGAAAATTCATCTGTACTTTGGATAAGACTCTCCCTCCACACATTTTTCTTTCTTCAGTTCTGGACATCCTATGACCTATTTAACCTAAATGATGTGCAAAACAAGACCAATGTGCACTTTCAGTGGCATGTTCTCTTACCAAGTGATAAAGTTCATTGTTTCCTAAATCAAGTTCTTCTAGTCGCTGCAGCTGGGCAAGAGATCTGTGAGATAAGTCAAACCAAAACCACATCAGATTAAACCAACAGAAACCCCATGTATTTGAATGAGCTCATTTTACTGAAACTCGTATTTCAAATTACAACGTATTGTAGACAGACAGTTATTTTACTGGGCATAGATTATTTGCAGTGATCACACGTAACAGTGTGACTCAAGACTTAGTTAAGTCCACCATTTATCTTCTCAACATGATCTATCCATTTCAGATTGGATTTGAGGATGCAAACAGAGGGAAGCCCAAAAGGATGCAAAAGAAGCTTTTTGAAGTAGAAGGACGGTCCTCTGTGTCTGTTCCTGTTCGAAGGCAGCCTGTTGTAGAGCTCTTACTCACCTTCCCCAAAGCCGTAGTAGCACGAAAGCCAGCAAGACTGGCCAGCTATGTTACTGACAGTCAGAATTTTCCAGGAGCAATAAAATTGTCAACATTTGTGATAGCTTCATTCTGACACCGCATGGCAAAACCCAGCTAGCAACTCATTTCTTCTGACCACTGACATTTAAAGTGCCTTGTGGCTCACGGCTATAAACAGCCGCAACCGAGGTACTGGGTAGACTGACAGGAAAAAAAGGACCCAAAAGTGACTGGGGAAGAGCTTCCGATGAAAACAGGTTGAATCTATTACAGTATCTATTAGATTATCTAAACAAGCAGAAGAGGAGTCACTAAAACTCTTGCAAGAAGCAGTCAGGTAGTGAAGGAAGGAAACTCCGTTACTAGAGAAAGAAGAGGTTTCTTCCAGGCAGCCAAAAAGGATCCCCAAAATGTGAGGTACCCAATTAATCTTACAAAAGGCCACCAATTCCCTCTGCCACAACACAGACAGCACAGGGACATCTAGATATATTTTTACCCCCAAAATCACAGTGGGTGGAGTCAGACTTCAGACATCAATAGGCCTAGTTTGTCACCACTGCTTTGATCTCCAAATTTTGGAAGCTTTTGGAAGCTTTTGGTTACTAGCCCTGAACGTGAATGCTTATTTAAATGCTGTGGAGGTCTAGAGTGGAAATCTCCGAGATCCTATTACCCTACTTTCACAGTTACGAAATTTCACCATGCAAAAAACCCAAACCACTACTCCCACTGCTGATGACCTCGTTCAATTTGTGCAGGAAGAAATGTTTCGTGCTGCTGTATTTTATACAGAATATTTTTACAGAGCAAAACCAGTCAACACAGACTGCTACTTACCAAGTACAACTAGAAGTAATAGATGCAACTATGTGTTGCTAAAACAAAGCTGTATCTCCTACACGTTGTCAACTGGCACTGAGTATTTTTTTCTAGCTGTCGTTCAGTTTCATATGTCAGGTTTTAAGAACAAGAACACTTTATGTTAATACACTCAAACACAAGAAATGTCACTTACTCAGGTAAATATGTCAGCAAATTTTCTCTAAGTTCCAGTGAAGCCAGGTTATAAAGACTAAGAAAAAAAAAAATACCACATTTTAATGCAATCTTATTTTTTATATTCCACATTTTCAGAATAAAAGTGTGTTTTTTACACAGCTTAAAACAAAATTGTTGTGAACTCATTTTTTGTTGCATTAATTCAACCAGCCCATCATGTGAAAGGCAGCATAAAAAGACTGAAGTTTTTGCTTGTTTCTCTGTGATACTTCAACATATTAAAGCTAGAAAGTAAACAGACAAAACACAAATTTCCATTTGTTAAAAGGTCAGTACTTGCAAGTTACTGAACAGAGCGTATTCATATGAATTACATTTACTTACTTGCTGTCAGAATCTGGCGTGGGCTACTAAAGTTACAGAGCATCAGGTAAACCCATCACTGCTTTAATGACAGCGTGCTCATTACTATAAGTGACATTATGCTTCTAAGCGGCTCACTTACTCCATATCCGAGGCTTTTACTAACATCACCATAGCAACATTGAGATTTTTCAGGGGTTTATTTATGACTAAATGGAACACAAGGAGTCAGACATTATCCCAACACTATAATCTGCTCTAATCCTCCAGCGTCACAGGGAAAAATAAAAATGAGATACGGTGACTGCAAATAAGTAGTTTCCTCCAACAGAGTATGTTCTGTCCTGGTGTGCAGTGAAAGGGAACAGTGTGCTAGGCTTTAAATAAAATCTAGATTAAAAAAGGGATTCCACTGAATTTGAAACACATGTTAAATCTAAACCCCAAATACTTTTGTTTGTAGACCTTAGGAAAAAAGAAAAACAACAAACAAGCCCATGTACGCAGACAACATAAAATTTATTTGTTTTCACCTCAAACAATACCAACATACTGAATTACAGGATCTTTGGTTAGCCCCAGTAAAAAAAGCAGCTGATAACCTCAATAACTAGTTTATAAAAATAAAAACCTTCCTATTGCGACTCCAATACAGCTATCCAAGCAGGAAAAGCAATATACCTGATGTAATGAATTAAAGGGGAGACTTTTTCATGGATTGACTTTGGACTGTGTCTGAAAAATACAACCTTATTTCAAGTACCTCTTTTGTACTGCATTCAGAAAAGAGTGAACGAAATCTCACAGGGGCTTTGATTACAGTCTCAGCAGTTCTCTCCAGCTTTTAAAACAGGCACATTTTACTCAATGGGTTCTGTATTCCTCCAGAAGAAATACAGTTAAAACTCGGCATACACACAAATATATTTTAGTAGAAGCCTATTACAAATTCAATTAAAAGATCAGTGAGAATAACTCAGCTACTGCCACTCAAAATCATTTGACAGAAACAAGGTAATAAGGAAGCCATCGTTCCAACGACACAAAGGAAACTCTCACATAAAAATTTCAACATTATAAAACACAAGTCAAGATGGGACACGGTATCTGACATCCTCACGGAAAACAAACCGGTGGAGGGTGAGAAGGAAGGGGTGATGGAGAACCATCTCTCTCCGAGAGGAACATGGGTCTGCTCTTACTCACTTTGCCACCCACAGACTGCCATTACATTTTTGTTTACAGGTTTTCTAGAAACCTATTCCAATCTTCCTTTGAATTTCGCACTTTCTCTTTGAGCTCTTATTAGGCAAGGCCCATGATTCACTTTTATCAAAAGAATACAAAAAGGATGTGCACATCGCCAAGCTGCCTGGTAATCTTGTGTTTACAGATCACCCCACATCTACTTATCTTCCTCCCCATCATGTTGAAGTGTCAATGAGTAAAATGGTGCAATCTCTTAATTTCTCTTCTTACATCAGACACCAGTTTGGCTGTGGTTAAACAGAAATCTTTGTCAGCAAAACCACGTTCAACAGCAAGAACTTGGGAATCACCATCTTAACCAGCCTCATCGTATCATTAAACTGGGGCAGGCCAGTAAACCAGCTCAGGAAACTGATCTTGCTTAAAAATAACCCAGCAAAAAGAGTAACACAGATCCCTAATCCAACACAGAATAAATCCCCTTAAACACCTGGGCCAGTACAACTGCCAAGAAAGTGCAAGGCAGGCATATGAACTGCCCAAGCCAGCAGCGCTATCAGGACTCACTGGGTCAAATCACAGAATCATAGAATGGTTTGGGTTGGAAGGGACTTTATGGATCATCTAGTTCCAACCCCCTGTCATGGGCAGGGACACCTTCCACTGGACCAGGTTGCTCAAAGGCCCATCAAGCCTGGCCCTGAACACTTCAAGTGATGGGACATCCACAACTTCTCTGGGCAATGTGTTCCAGTGCCTCACCGCCCTCACAGTGAAGCTATGCCCTTGTGGATACCCACCAACAGCTGTCCTGGCATCCAACCATGCATCATGCATGTCGGAGACTGACTGTGGCTGACTGCAGTCCCAGGCCAGGTTCTCTTACTATGGGAGTCAGCTACCTACAGGATTACACTTTCATCTCTAATAACACAGCTTCTAGAGGAGAAACGCTTTATTCTACAGCTAGTCTCACCCACAGCATGCTCACAACTATAACTCTAGCCTGCAACAAAACAAAGACACTGCCCTCCACCCCTTCAATCTATTCTTTCTACTTTTTCCAAGATCTTGAGTCCAAATCCAATGTAAGCAGTGCCCAACAGGCAAAATGAAGCTTCCCACCAAGTAACGTAAAAGAAACACTCAGTCTATGAAGTTTATACCAGCAAAGCTGTCCAATTAGGCTGAAGTACTATTCTTAAGATGCATCCATCTGAAAGACAGGCCAGAAAATGAGAACATATTTTTGACTCATCACTCTTAAATTTCAACCAGTTACAGAAGCGGCTCCCAGCAAACCTATGTGCTGCAATTTAAAATGGGAAAATGTGACAGTTATCATATAAAATAGCATCATACGAAAGGCATGCTGATGTACTGAAGCACCAAACTTCAACACATTACAGAGCTGAGGTACAGCTCTTCCCTAAATTCACCAGCAGGTTCTTAACACATTGTATGTTCACTAACGTTTTTCTGTCTTTAAGGTATGTTAAGAAACAGGATTTTTAGTCATTTACAAGAATAATCCTATATTTCTTGCTATTTTTCAAATACATTTTCTGATTTAATAACACATTGTCTCCAGAAAGTGTAATTCTTCCCCTTCTCAATCAAAAACAGAGATTTTTCACAATATACTAAATGAAATCATTTCTTCTTTTCCCTCTGCCCTACATTTTATGGGTGCACTGTTAGTCAAGAGTCTTTCTGAAGTCTCTGAAAGGAACTAAAGGAAGACATACTTTAACAATTCCAGAGTCTTTCTCTAACC